GTTAAAATAAATAAATCATTTTCGTTTATCGTTACTTCAGACAGTACAAATCTGTAAAATACATCTTAGGACATCTAAGAGATGTTTAGAACAAGTAAAATTTCTTTTGGACATCTCTAAGACTTCTTTTAGACATTTATGTTGTTTGGGGTGGCTTTCTAGGTGAAATGATTCGGAACAAAATTCACGCGGCTTACTTTTATAAATAAAAATTCGACAGAGAAAGAGAGAGAGAAAGAGTTCTAATTGAATCTATAAGGTTCTTTTTTTCTTAGAATCATTCAATCACCTGTAAATGCAGGAATAGCTAGCCAAAGCATGCATAGGGCCAAGTATACTAGCTGTACAAGCGGCACCGTGTTTTAGCTCCTTTAATAAAGCCACACTGGTCCATTGTCCATCACTGGCCGGTGTTCCACCAGCCAATCTCGCGGTCGGTCCTTCCGCATTATGCAGGCCGCAAGAGAACTCTTGGCACGAAATTCCTACAATTTTGCCCGATACGCAGAATTCTACTCGTTCTAAGTTCGTGACTAGCGGCCTGCGAGGGTGCGGATTCGTCTTCAGTCTTAAGATTTTCTGACTATTGTTCCATATGGACAACTCGGTCGTCTCGGCACCGGCAAATCCCAAAGCTCGACAATAAGAATCGCTGAATTCTTCACTCCATCCGTCCGAACAGACTAGTCGATCTTCGTCGTATTGCCTGTATGCAAATATGCATTTTAATAGGGAAAATGTTATTTATTTTCAAATAATATATTTGATATGTTATGATTGAATCCTAGTTCAATTTTGCGGATTGCTCACCTTCGACTTTTCCAAGCATTTCGAAAATGTCGTTAGTCAGTGATTAAGAGCCGATTGTTCTAACTTCTTGGTAAGCTACCTAACAATTACATCTTGTGCCTGTCTTTGTCCAATTTGATGGAAAAATGAAGATAGACATATGATTTAATTGCCAGGTGGCTTACCAAGAGGTTGGAACAATTAGCCCTAAGTACGTACGTGGATCTGTGCAATTTTTTCACGAGACGAAATTTCTCAATTTATTATTATTATTATTCTACGTGTTAATACACAAACGTATTCACCTTATCTTCAACAGCGATACGCCGTCGGTTAATTCACTCGCTTTGTCGTCTCCGGCATTGGTATCAGTTAGATTTTTCTCGATGATACTGGCAGTCAGACAGCCCCACTCGTCCGAATGGTCCGGACAATTCTCGATTCCGTCGCAGACTTGAGTCAGTGGAACGCATCCGCCGGTTTGGCACTTGAAATGATCCAGAGCACAGTCGCACAGTTTCTCGTCCTCTCCGTTGATACACTCGTTCATTCCGTTGCAGTGCCATGTTTGCGGAATGCACCACTTCTCCGTCGGGCAGAGGTACTCGTTGTTACCGCAACTCACGGCGCAATTGTACTCGTCCTGGTGACCCTCGCAGTCGGGTCGGCCGTCGCATTGCCATAATGCCGGAATGCATCTTCCTGCAAATTTCACACGCACAGTCAAATCTCACTGAATATTATTGTTACACGGAAAGAATATTTTTTATAGCTTTTTTTTTTATATATGATTTCTTCTCAATTTTACCATATTTATACTACAAAAGTGTGGGAACAGATTCTGTGTTGCTGAGGAACGTAACACATTTTACTAAGAATTTTGAAAAAAGTAAATTTTTTGCAATTTTATTTGTTGAAATTAACACTTTATATTTCAATTCATAGAGAAAGAATAAGTTAGTGTATTAAATTTTTCGTTACCTGGGAAGAATAGATGGGATCAGACGGGAAATTTGGTTGTAGAAATAGAAAAATTCCTGTAGGAGATTTCTATTCAGTTAATTGTTTCTAGGAATTCCAACTGGATGTTAAGTAAAGTAAAATCGTTTCACGTTATCGTATTTTCGTCTGATCCTTATTTAGTTCCCTAACAGCACAGATGTCCAGGGGACATCCAGAGTATATCCTGAGGAAATCCTGAGGACATTTCTTCGTCCTCAGGACGTTCTTAGGACGTCCTCAGGAAATTTTATGCTGTCTGGGTTACCTGATACTTTTTACTTTTAATATAAATGGAAATGGAATATATCGGTATGCGTTCCTCAGTTACAAAATTATCCAGCAACTTTTACTATAAAGTTCTCTCCTGATATCGGATAATCGCCGGGAATCAAGCGAATTTTTTATTCGCGAGTCTTGACCTCGATATCTCGCTTACCACTAGGACATTTGAATTCGTCGTGCTGGCACTTCCACAGGTTACAGTCGTGCTCGTCGCTGCCGTCGTCGCAGTCCAGGATCTTGTTGCACACGAGGTGCCTCCTCAGGCACTGTCCGCTGACACACTGGAAGTTACCCGGACAGCCTTCCTCCCGGCAATTCAGCTCGTCCGAGCCGTCGGAGCAGTCCATCTCGGAATCGCATTTGGCCGACAATGCGACGCAGTACGCACCGTCCCGGGATGTGCCGTTAACGCATTGGAATTGACCCGCGGTGCACTTGGAGTATAGCACATCGGGCAGGTGCGAGGTAGGTGTCGCAGCATTGCCAACGAGGCTCGTGTTCCCCGCGTCCGACTGCGCGATTCGCATGTTGGGCGAGTCTTTCGCAATGCGATCCACTTCTGCTCCCGCGCCACTCGGCGATTGATCCGAGGAAAAGGCGACAGGTTGTCCGGCGGTTTCATTCACTTTCGCGTCGGCGACGGTCCGAGGTTGGTCGGTTTCTGGGTCGCCCGTCGCGCGACCTTCACCTGCCGTCTCGCTTTTCGCAATCACGCTTTCCGTTCCGAAAGCGCCTATTGCGATCGCCGGTCGATGGTAGGTGTAATTCCGCATGACTATGTAGGGCTCCGTGACTGGCACCGGCTCGATTATCTCCTCCGACACGGGTATGAAGCTGGGATAATTCTTGGGTTTCATCTCCGCAGGCGCCTTTTTGCTTTCGTAAACCGCCTCCGGACTTATCGGCAAGATATTGCCTTCCTTGTCGGCCACGATATACCTGGGCACGCTTGGATCCAAGTCGGAGCTTACCGCGCTGTCGCTCAACTCCTCGTAGGAGCTGATAGTCACCTTCGGCGATTCCGTTTGGGAGAGAGTCGTTGGGTCGGGGTTCTCCGTCAACACGTTCTCCTCCTCGGACTCCTCCAAGCTCAGGTCCTTCTCTTTTTTGTATTTATACTTGTCGAAGCCCTTCTTGTCGACCGACTTTTTTTTGTTCTCGTGATTTCGTTCCAACGGTATCACTCTGAGATCCTCTTCAGATAGCTCTTCTGAAACCAGCTGAATCGGCCTCGACGTCGTCGTCATGTACAGCGTTCTATAGTCGAATTCTATCATAGGCTGCGTGTCGTCCAACATTTCCGTTACCGGTCGGACGTCCTCTGTGGTGGTGACGTCGTTGGACATTAGTGTGGTTCGCTCTACGCCGCCACTCGTAGGACTCTTTTCTGTGGACATCGCCATAGTGGTCTCCATCCTTACGCTCTCCGTCGAGTTCTCGAACGTTGTCTTGTTTCGCTCATCTTCATCCTGTTCCATTTTTCGGCCGGTCTCCACGCTCACGTTATTCTCATACATCTTCGTAGCCGCCATGTTCTTCTCCGAGGACGTCTCCGATGACGTGTTTACGTTGGTATCCATCTCGACGCTGTGGGTCACAGCATTTTCCTTCTCGTCAATTTCCCGCCCTTTCTCCGTCGTTTCGTCTTTAACGACCTCCGTTGATACTTCTGCTTTGTCAGTCTTTGTTTCCTTCTCTTCGCTTGACCGCGCCGTCGTTGTCGTTAACATGTCGCTTTCCGTTGTTTGCAGCTCCTCGGGCAAAATTGGGATTTGAGCTGTTGTCTTGGTTTCCACTGTCGATTGGGTTGTTGTAATCTGCGCCGTTGTAATAGTGTCTTTCTCATCAGACTGAGAAACGTTCGGCGACTCCGTGTCACTTTCCTCCGGCTTGTTAACGTCAATCATAGTGGTGGTTTCAACTTTGTCAGTCGCTACTGTCGTCGATATATCTTGCTGGATCTCCATCGGTAACACGGGTTCTTGCGTGGTCAGCTTGGCGTCTTCCGCTTGTCTGTCCGAGAGACTTTCCATCGTAGTCGTTGGACTTGTTTCAGGAGATGTCTCCTCGTTCGTCTCGTTCTTTTCCTTTGCGGTGCTATCGAATGTGCTCGTTTTGTCAGGTACCTCTAGCCGGCCGACGTCATTTAAGACAGCTTTTTTGGGTTGCTCTGCGATTTTAACCGGGATATTCTTGCCATCGCCGTCATGTCGATATCCCTTGGACAAGCTTTCATCCGTAATGTCGTTGTACTGATCCTCCACGGCATTCTCTTCCAGCTTCTCCGAGCTGATCGTGCCACTTCGCACTACGGAACCTGCGACTGTTTCCTGGGCTTTTTCGGCGGAAGGAGTCGCTTCATCCGATGACGTAATCGCGTGATCCGCCGATTGCACCTTGCTCTGAGAAATCTCGTTCACTGGTCTACTCTCCGTCGTCAGCGGTATCACTTTTAGGGTCTCGTTATTCTCCACAGATGAACTCTTATCGCTCGATTCTGCGAAACCGTCTTGAGTCTTCGACTCTGTGTCGTTGACGACTTCACCGACGTCTAAGTCGTTCTTGGTGGTATCCTTAGCGCCATTGCTCGAGTCATCCACGTCGTTCGCCTTCGGGCTCTCTTCAGTATTTTTCGCGAGATCTGCCTTCTTCTTGTCGCTCGCCGAGTGCGAGTTCACGTCGTTCAACAAGTCTTTGGTTTCGGTTTCGTTCATTCCACGCCACGCATCTCCCGCGTCCTCAGAGTGCATCAATGGCCGATGCGTTATAACGTCGTCGATAGAAGTCTCGAAAGGATTAGGAACATTCTGCTCGTCCTTGTCCAGCCGTGGCGCTTTCTTCGCGTTTTCCTTCTCCTTGTGAACGTCCGGCAAGAACGGCGACATGTCGTCCACATGTCGATCGTCGCCCATATCGGATTTCCCGGCGAAGTGATCCACCGAGTTCTCCGGGAAGATCGCTGGGTGAAGAGGGTGGCTCGTTGAGTGCTCTTGAGCGTCCTCAGGGCGGACTGTGTGGTCACTGTTATTCGTGTAAACGACATTCTCGTCGACACGCGCTGTGGACGATTCGATTGAACTCGGGTTTTCAGCGGGCTTCTTCGTGTCGAGATTCTCATTGACTGCTATCTTATTGTTGTCTTCTGTTGTCGAATTTTCCGATGTATTCGCGGTTTTTACGCTTTGCTCGGGAATGAGTTGCGGAATTATCGCGTGAGAAATGGTCGTAGGTTGATCGGATAGCGGTATCATCATGATATGCTCGTCGTCCGCGGATTTCACGATAGGTTCCACCAACGGCTCCACGTTGTGAGCGAAGTTTTTCGGCACTTTAGGAAAGACCGTCGTTGGCATATGCTCGATGACGTTCTTCTCGTTCGAATCTTGCGCGTCAGATTCGGGCTGCAAAACAGGTTGGAGCACGTGTCCCGACTGAATCGACGTATCGGCTGAAGTAGTCTCTGGTATCATAGTCGTTTCGTACATCTTTCCACCGTTGTACGATTCTGGGCTTCTATTACTCACACCATTAATTTCTATTGTATGGAAATATTTGTCACTGAGCGTTGACTTAATAACTGATTCCGTTTTGTCTTCTGTTGGCATCATCGGTGTGGTAATTGACGCGGTGGTTGAATCAATCTGCTCAGAAACATGTGAGGTAGTGCTTGACTGCTCAATCATTAAATTATTCTCAGTAGTCGAGGATCTTTCATTTTGAACATTATTTACACTTGTATCAATATTTGTTTCCGTATTAGAATCTATTTGTTCATCTTCTTGAAGGCCAGAGCTGTGTGTTTGTTCTCCATTTATAGATTTTTCGCTATCTTCAAATTTAGTCATATAATTTCCATTGTTACCTTCATAATTCGAGGTAGTAAAACTCATCTCAGTGGTTGTAATTTCGTTGTCCTTATTATAAGATTCTACTGTCGTCGATTCGTATTCGTTCTTAGGTTTTAAAGGTATCACATGTAATGGTATATCACTTACTTGATTTTTATTAGGTACGTCAGTTGAGCCGTTTGCATCATTTAAAATTGATATTTGTGTAGGTGGTTCAGTATACATATCATCGCGGGACATTGATTTATCAGTGGAATCTGGCTGATTGGAGTTTTCAACGTCTGATTCTAAATGGGATTGTATTGTTGTCATATGAGGCGATTCTGTTGTCATCTTTACGTCATTATTTGCAATGTCGTCTTCAACGGAGGTTGTTGCCGGTTCTGTGGCAGACAACGGTTCCACAGCAGATTGTTTATCAATGCCAGATTCTATTTCAACGGTAGATTCGATTTCTGGAGTAGTTTCTGATTCGGAAACTATGGTGGGTTCTGGTGCGCTAGTCGGTTCGGATTCTGTAGCAAACTCCAGTTCAGAAACTGACTTTGGTTCAGTTGTAGGTTCTGGCTCGACAGATGGCTCTGGTTCAGCAGCAGGTTCTGGCTCTGCAGCTGGTTCTGGCTCAGCAGAAGGCTCTGGTTCAGCAGCAGGTTCTGGCTCTGCAGCTGGTTCTGGCTCAGCAGAAGGCTCTGGTTCAGCGGAGGGCTCTGGTTCAGCGGAGGGCTCTGGTTCAGCGGAGGGCTCTGGTTCAGCGGAGGGCTCTGGTTCAGCAGAAGGCTCTGGTTCAGCAGAGGGCTCTGGTTCAGCTGAAGGCTCTAGTTCAGCGGAGGGCTCTGGTTCAGCGGAGGATTCTGGTTCAACTATAGGCACGAACGACTGTGCTGTTGGCTCTGCGGTAGGCGATACTTTGACAGGAGTCTCCGCTTCAGAGCTTGTTTCTATTGAATGATGCACATGCTCATGATGCCAGTGAGGATCATCATTCTCGAAAATGTGATCCGTCACCGATGCGGGCTCCGATGTAGACGTATCTGTTCCAGCCAATCCTGTCTTGAATTCTGTATTTTCCCAATTATCAGGATATCTTGGTTCAAAGTGTTCCGTGCCGGGGCCTCTGCTTCTACCTTGAACGAAATCGTTCGTTGATTCTGTGCTTGATGTTGGTATTATGTCTTCCATTTCGACGTTACTCAAATCATTATCGTCCACGCATGTCTTGCCGTCTTGACCTAGCATCTTCCCAGCGCCACAGGTGCACGTGAATGTACCAGTAGTGTAATCGAATTTGCAACTTTCGGCGCACCCGACGTTGCCGCTTTCACATTGATCAATAAGCTTTCCCACTTGAAGCCTGCTCAAATGATACTGTCCGATCATGTTGCCATTTTGCCGCAAAGCTTCTTCAATATTTTCTTGAGTCTTCTGAGGAGTGGACAAAGTCGGGTGACTTATTCTGAACTTTACTTCGCCTTGTTCGTTGATATCGTACACTTTGACCACGGACGCGCTGCTGTCCGTCGGCTGCAGCATGCTCTTCAGATGCTGCTCTATCTCACCGCTCACTTGTCTGTACACCCGCGACTTGCTATCGCTCAAGTCCTCGCTCCACTTGAAGTCGATGAGTTGCATAATTCCATCCAAAGCGTTGGGGACAGTTTGGTATTCCATTTCATCTGTCGTCGGCCACGGCGGAAAACTTGAGGTTAAAGGCGGTGGACTCGACGGTGGATTCTTCACGAATTCTTGCCTGCCCGCTGTCTTCACGTCATTGGGATGATGAATGTCGCTTTCCTGTGGCACGGTCTCCAAGGGTTCCGTAGCCTCTTGCGTTAGAATTACGCCAGCTGAAATGAAGATATTGGTATTCCCTAAATTTCTTAGAATGAAATTTTACTCAAAAAGCAAAAAAGAGTAACCACGGAATCTCTCGAATTCGAGTAAATTCTCCATTCTAAAATGTCGAGTGAATATTTCCACTCAAGATTGAAAAATGAATCCGATACCGTTATAGAAACATATTCACTTTAATCGAGTGAAATATTCACTCGTATGGAGTTAGAATTAATTCGAAACTCGAGTGAAACATTTACTCATACGATTCCGAGTGTTTTCATTATCGAGTGAAGATACTACCATTTTTCATTCATTTCGAGTGAGTTTTAAAAGAGTTAGACAAGAATTTTCCCTCGATATATTTTGACAATTACTTATCACGTTTCCCACCGTCGCACATCCTCGATATTTTTCTGTGAGAATAAAGTTTGTATAACGAAAAGAGCGAGAGGATATCTTACTTGCGGCTAAAATGGCGATGATCACGGCAATCAGTAGGACCAGCAATCCGCATCCCCAGGCCATTCTTCTCCAGTACGAGTTCCGGGACCTCTTATCTTTCGTGACGTAAAGTTTTTCACCTCTGCAACACAATTTCGACCATCACATTAGAGATGGCGCGAGCCATTAGCGCGCGCTTTAACGTCTCCCTCGTCCTAAACCCAAGAAGCATACTTTGTACAGCGTTGCGCGTGTAACGACCTGTTGCGCGTCTAGCGACCTCCGTCAGTGACCAGCCAACGGGATTAAAAGCTTCCCTTGTACGTGGCACCCCGGTGTCTAAACCACCTTTCCAACGAGCGCCTGATCTCTCGAATCGTGTGCTGTGTGGGACGTGCGGGGTTTACTCGCGCGCTTTTTCACTCAAGAAGCTTCTCTCTCTCTCTCTCTCTCTCTCTCTCTCTTTCTCTCTCTCTCGGGACGCGATGACGAGAAGACGACGACTCACGCGACTCGCTTCTGACCTTCGGTAGTGCCCGATCGCGACTAATAGTCGCTTGCCGCGGTCGACCCTTCGGTTACAATCGTCAGCGATTCGCCTGCGTTCGCTAGCTATTGTCTCGACTAACTGTCCCGTCCGGAAGTTGACTTGGCATCTGAGACGTCTCGAAAACGAGGCGTCGGGACGTGTGACGGTCTTTCACGGAGGAACGTGTCATCCGAGCTTGGACGGAGAGGAGCGGTAGCGTAAGCGTGTTAGTGCTTGACCGTGTAAGACACCTAAATATACTCCACAGACAGTCCCCAACTTTTTATCCGCATCCTCGAAAGCATCCTTCAAGTACCTGAGGGCTGTCAGCCAGTGGGAATAGTCGACCAGTCCGGCGGCAGGGTCTCTCAGGCTGAGTCCCTCGCGGCCGACGCCGGGACCCAAATCAAAACGCACTCCAGCTACGGTCGTTTCAACCTCGGCCTCGGGTCCCCTGCTAGGTATCGTGGCAACAGAAAACACCGTTTTCTCTCTCTTTCTCTCTATTTACCGATGTAGGCAAAACGGGGGCTTTTCGGTACAGCAACGGCCCGAGCTCTGTGCTGTGCTCTGCTTGCGCTGTGCTGCGCTGCGCTGTGCTATCCGCTGCAGCTAAAAACGGCGCCGGAGGCATCTGTCGCGCCTCTGATAATTCTCGGGAAGGAACACGCGCGCGCGTGAAAATACGTCTCTCTCCAGGAAACATATCTCTACTCTAATCTACTCCTTTCACGTATCTCGAATGATACAGCTCGTCGTCTATACATATTTCACGCATGTCGCGCGATTATGTTATATCGGCTGCCGGATATCGGGATTACTTCGCGCTATTCGTAGAGTCTACTTAGTCTAGCTTTAGTGTCTTCTACTTTGTACAGCGAGATCTCGACGTTACGTTTCTCGTCTACGAGAATAGCTCTCACGATCGGAGATATATTTCATAACAGTGACGGAGAATCTCGTCTAGGATCAGTCGCGACGGTGTTCATTAATTCGCGTACACGCGGAGAATCGTGAGTCGCGCTTGTTCCTGCTCCTCTCACTCTTTTCCTCGTCGTTGCCGTGTTTTCTGTTTCGAAATTTCGGAAAAGGATTCACGCACGCCGGGCTGGTGGAACGGTACACGCGTAAAACAGTTAATGAGAGTTAAGAGACAGAGCCAGGAGGAAAAAAAAAGAAGTGCGTAAGCGCAGAGACTCGTTCGCTTCGACGAACGACTCGTTACCTGATGTACTTTCGATGCTCGTTAACCGGCACGAAGTACTCCTCGTAAGGATCAGCTGGTACCTCGCAGGCTTCCTGACCTTTCGTCTGGATATTGCTGCCCGTGAATGGCCTCATCGAGACTAGTTCCAGGTTTACGGCCTCGATCTGCTCCTTCTTCCCAGATTCTATGGAAAACGGGAAACTGTTTAGCGTCAGATTGTATATATCCGTGTATATAAAGTGCAACCGGTTTTCGTTTTCCGGTCGCACACGAAACCAGCGGAGAAACCGCATTCCGCGAAATAGTAATGAGGCTAAAATAGGGCCGAGCTTCCTGCTTTTAGCACGAGATTGTGTGGAAAACGACACGCAATTGCGCGAGATACGCGCGTTAATGGGAAAACGATCGAAGGCGCGGATAACGAGTAATCGATGAGAAAGAATGCGCGGTAGAAGTGCCAATGCCTAGGCACTAGTAACACTGGTACCTAACTATGAATATTCTAATTGTTTTAGTTTATAAGTACGAATAAACTTTCAACGCAGAATACATACGAAGAAATATAGTTTCTTTTTCATATAAATTCTTTTCAGTTTTATCATGTTTTTAGCAATTCAGAGATAGACTGTCAGTAAGGTGTTAAGAGAAGCATAGTAAATTTATACTATATTGTAAATTTATTCTATGTTGAAAGTTTAAATACTCGTGTTTAAAGACCAAGACAATAAAATTGATCACATTTAAGACACGTTACTTTTCGGTATTAATATCGAACGATATTAGTACCGAACGATTAGTATCGAACGATACGCGTGGGAGATTGAGTGTCGAGACGGAAAAACGATATCGCGTCGACATCAGATATATCAGAGGTCACGGTGCGTGTCAAAAGATTCACTGTACCGCGGGCGATACTTCCTGGGGTTTCACCGGCCACAAACGACTTTTTCCCGACAAACCGGTAGTAACGCGATGGTAATTAACGATCGAAAGTGCAGTCTGCTCGAGTCATATCCTACGGGGAGAGAAAGGAGGGGTGGAAACGAAAGCCAGCGAGCTCTTCCGAGACAATTTCTCGCAGAATCTTTCCTCGTCTGACCATGTTGTGATATCAGCAACTGTATAACTGATTAGTAGACAGTTCTCATTATCATAAAATCGCGAGAGGCTTTCCCCGTCCGCAATATTCAAGTTCGTAGATACACGGACAAAACAATCCCGTTAGTGTGACTGAATTTTCTGTTAATCTCAGAAAACTAAGTTGTAGGAACAGAGAGATTTCACACGAAAAAAAAACATATATGATGCACTTAACCGAAAATATTTAGTTGCGAGCAGCACACAGAGTTGCATTACTCTAATTATCTTTGTGCAATGGTGATATGTATGGTTGATGTGACTCAATTACATTGGTATATCAAATATATCAATGTAATTGCGTCTGATCTAGTTGTTGCATCAAGAAATCGGTTGACATTTACCATGGATACACTCTGATTGCAGCGATCAGATATCGTCAGATGCTGCAACTCAGCAATTGTTCTGTAGTTGCAGGTACCACACAATTAGTTGTTTCACATTTTATTACTGAATCTATTCGGCACAACTAGATTTCTGTGTGTGGGCCAATCATTCTTTCCGTGTACCCATCCAATTGCTCTCGATCAAGAATGTTCAGACGAAGCTTTTTGGTCACAATAATAGAGGTATTATTTCTCGTCGGCGAGTTTTTCGTCTGATCCCCATTCAGTGACACGAACTGAAATTTCTTTTACCACTCTCACTCGCAACTTCTCGGCATCGGCAAGTGCGACTCCACGTGCGTTTGAACTCACCGTTGACCTGCACGCTCGTGGCGCTGTTGTTGAGGAAGCTGGCGTCGTTGTTGTTGCCGTTTCCATGGACGCCGTTGAGCTTCGGGTCCGGCGAGCTTTTCTCCGTGTTATCGGCCGGCAGTTCGATCCTCGTTTCCGTCTTGTAGCACGGCTCCGAGCTCGGCTTGACCGGCTCCACGTAGTGCTGCGAGACGTAGGATCGCTGGTGGCCGTTCTCCGTCGGCGCATTGTCCGTCGACGAGGAGGTCTTGTGATCCTGGTCCAAGGTCACTTGCTGTTGGCCGCCGTTCTCCAACTTGGCGTCGCACTCATTCTCGCCGGCGAACGCCGGGTTCTCCGTGCCACCGGCACCCGACATCTCTCGTTCGCGTCGCCCAAAGCTACTGAGCCCTCACCTGCTGATAACGCCCGCCCGGTATCGTCTGTCATGCGTCTCGCTTCTGTAACCAAATTGCCAGGATCATGTAGCGCGGTAGTGAATTTCGCTCTAGTGTTTCTACAAGTTCTACAAGTTCTACAAGTAGGTTACGCTGGACTTTGCGTGCAATATGCGCGTTCGTTATTGCGCTTAAACTGAAAATCGCTCACTATAGTCCGTGCTATAATATTTGGTAATTTTACTTATAAAATTATATAACATATTTTAAATGTGCTAAAGCTTCTGGGCAAATCGAGATTAAACAGCAGTTACCTAAACGTTGATAAAACGACAACCGTGTCGTGTTTTTAACGCGATTTGGTTTTACAAATCGCTACAAATCGTCGGTGTTTATTCACCGAAAGCAAGAAACGAAAGAATATGATAAATTCTTACGTAGCTGTTTTACTAATTTTCTTCGGTATTTGACCTAAATCAGTATAGAAAGTTACCGTGAATCCCAATTCGTGGCTGGCCTCGCTTATCAAAATTTATTCAGGAGATTCTATATAGCTTCCTCGGAGGCCGCGGATGTTATTCAGACCACGAAATGGGCCGAGGAGACTTGTTTAAACAGTTTTACTCAGATCTATCGTAGGACTTTGGTTGTTGAACGTCGCGAAGCGACGCATCGCCACTAAACGTGGATCATCCTCGCCAATGACGTCAGCGGTAAGGCAGACTTGTATTTTTTCGCACAGAGCGAGCGAGGGAGACGTGAGAATCGTGAGAGAGAGAGGGAGAGGGAGAGGAAGAGAGAGAGAGAGAGAGAGAGAGAGAGAGAAAGAGAGGTCCCGCCGTCCTGCGCATCCTACTGATATCCTCGCGGAACGATTTATCGAACCTGTTTGCCGAATGCAAAAATCAATTTTCCTCTTAACGGTGACTACATCGTGGCGCGGGTCAAAAAAACGAAAGGGTAAAAGATGTTTGCGGTGCGGTCGTATCGGCCGATCGGATTGTCCGTCTGAGACGTCAAGAGTGAATCAGCAGCGGGTCGAATTAGAGGCTCGAGAATCGCGATGAGGTATTTCGTGAGAAACATCATCTCCTCGCTGCCGGCGAAGACGACTATTCACCGCACGCTTGTCTCTTCTTTCCTCCTCGTCCGTCCTCGGTTCGCGTTTCCTGCGAACCTCCCACCATCCTCGCGGCAACAGCCTATTTGGCTTATTTTTTCGACTTTGAACGTTGCATCGAGCCAATAAACTTGGGGTCCGACGCGAGGAGAAAAGGAACAACGGGATTTAACCCCTTCTAACCACTGCGGACCGACGATGTGGAAAACATATACGACTCGAGGCACCCACTTCAGCCGAAATTCATCTCCTCGAACATTCAGGAAACGCCTTGATGAGCTTTTAATACGCTCACCATCAACCTGACTAGAAATTTATCCCATAGTTCTGGTCAGATTGGTTCTAATCAGTTTAGTCTGTGTGTGAGATGATGTCATCGGATCAATAGGATCGTAATTGTCGATAGTTCTTATTACTGATAAGTCACACTGCGTTATGTGACTTATAATACCGATAATATCATTTTATAGAAAACAGGTAATTACTTGAAATCAGTCTGATCAGGTCCATAGGATAAATTTCTAGTTCTAGATCTCATTTCGCGGGGTGCTTGGGGTTCGCAAAATCTCTTCTACTCATTATGGCGAATAGCATTGTTACGTATGTAGTCACGTGTAGTAATGCGACAGGATCGACGTAAATCGCGTTGTTATATAACGAGCGAATGTAATTTGTTTACATAAAATAGACATAAAATTACGTTGAGAATAAGAACTCGCTAAGAACGCAGAGCGAGTCGATCTTTTTTGCGCCCAGAAGAATCTTAACTGCTTCCACATTCTTCGTCTATTCGCCTATTCTAAACGATCGATTTAATCGCCATTAATTGGACGACGAGAATGATAACTCAGCTGTCGTATTATTCATTAGATTTCGCGGAGACGCGATTCACGTGGAATTCGTAGAATATATAATCGCGATCGGTTGAATTAATTTCCCTCGCACACGAGAGCAACCCAAGTCGCTAGGATCTGTCGTAGAGCCTCTCACAACCGAGTCTGAGACTAATCTCACTTGAGAGGCACGAATTTCTTGCCATATGGGTTTAATCTTATCTCACGCTCTTCCGTGGACGCAGCTCGAGAGGAAGGCAACGCGCGGCGGAGAGTCGGTCTGAAAATATCCAACTAGTGATACTTGACTGTTGGGCTACGCGGCGACTTTCAAGACACCCTGTAGGCACGCTCGGACGGGCGAGTGTGTTCGCGTGTGTACATATAAACGTCGGAGGCATATACTGCACCGAAAGTGGTTGACCCTGAGAGAGCCCGGCACAAAGGACTGATTCACCCCGGGGCCAATGCGAAGTCCCGGCGAGGAAGGAGCTCGGCGTTCACCCGGGTCGATTTTGTACGATCCTTTCTTCGGGCCTGTCTACAAGTGACATAATCCGCGGGGACAGTGGCACATTAATGTTTTCAGCCTTAGAGAAATCGCATCGGATCGAATCCTCCCGCGCTCGCTTTTAATATGGCGCGCTCAGAGAGTTCTCTCTAATCGAACGGACGAGGCGAATGCCGCGAAATACTCAGGCGCGACCGCCGCGAAACTTGCACTTTCATTTATTCTACACATGCATATCATAACGTATATTTCTCCAATCGCTTTCCTGTACTTATTAACGAAGAATTAGTGTGTTAACGGAAGTTATATAAGGGGAATCTTCTCTCTATCATGATACATCAGCAGCCTCTGCCGCGTTGAGATTCGCGGTGAGATGAGCTGGCGAGAAATCACACGCGAAAACACGCCGATGCACTCGGCGCAATAATGATACGCTCGATATCTCCCAGAGTCAACCGTCACCATCATCATTTGCTCTTATCATCGGTGCATATTCCGAGCGTACAATTATCTCGGGAAATGAGCGGTTGATAAGTGAAACTCTCGCTCTGTCACTTTGCTTTGGCAGCGCGTAGCCTCGACTAACGACTAACATATTTTGTCACGCTATCTTTTCGTCTGCACACTGAGACGTCACCCGTGTTCACCGCGGGAGAATTCGACGTATCTTGCACATTTCAGCAGTGAAAGTGCCTTACGTTCGCGAAAAAAGATCGTAACGTTGCTGAAGTGTCGCTCGATTTCTCCGGTTTGCATTCACGAGAGGACCAGCGATCGCGGCAAGAAGCTGCGACACGAAAGGGCGTGCAAACTCGACACATACCGAAAGCCACCTACGGATCTCTGCGCGATATTAAACGTCTCGCGTGTAATCGCTTCGTTCCGAGATTCTCGGCTCAAGTATACCGTTGAATGTGCACTCGAGAGACGGCGATTTAATCTTACACTCTCTTCAAGTGAATCCGGTAAAATTGCTTCTCATTGAATTCAGCGAAAGGAGTATTTCACTGACGAAATCAATGAATATTCACCGATTTTCTATGAAAACATTCTACTATTTTCTGTCTTATGCTCTATGCGGTTTGCGTGTGATGACACTGTCAATGTTTGCACTAATAAAAAGTAGAAAGCAGTATACTGCGAGAAAAAATAGTTGATCTCACGAAAAATTATAAAAGTTAAAAGTTTTCGGCGCCAACTATTTCTTCTCGTTATTCCAACAAGAAGGTAGCAATATATGTGTAAGGTTATTATCACTAACATATTAAAGTATACATAACATTTAAAACTAAATTACAAAATTACTTCTTCTGATTATAATTCTTTCACTATACGATTATGGTCAGAAGTATCAAACACTTTTCTCCTCAGGGTAGCTAAACTGATTTTTTCGGCGAGATCTTATTGATTGAATCACCAGGTACGAGTATAGCACTATATTGAAGAATACACTACTTGTATTTTCGAGGATAATTTAAATTGATACCTGTAAACATTATACGCCACATACACAGTGTCCTATGTGACTTAATCGTGCGTCGTCTAGAGAGGATCATAGATAGAAGATCTCTCGAAATAGAGCTCGTTAGGCAGCCTATTCGCTCCGTAAGAGTCTGCTTTGTGCGCGTAAAAGCGATGCTCTTCGGCCGCGGAGGTAAGAATCTCGGCACGCCGTGAAATTCAGCGTGACGTGCTAGAATTAATCCGCTTGAAAGGCGTGCATCCGCGAGGCGACCTGATCGCGCGGGGCCCTCGATAGACATCTACGTTTATCGTGGCGAGGAAATCGCCAAGAACGAATTCGTATCGCTGCCGGGATATCGTCGCGCCGCGAGAAAGGACGAACGAGTCCCCGCGGCGTGAAGCACACGATTATCCTCGAGCCAGAAAAGGCTTCCCATCGCTCGTCGTTAAAGGACATTCTCCAGCGACATCGCGCCTGTGATTTACGAGACTCGCCTGTTGATACCACAGAGTCTCGCTCTACCGAGCCCGAAGACTTTCACCTTGATCGCAATCGCGCGACGAGACCTTGCGTAATTCTTCAGCATTATCTATGCGCAGCCGCGATTCGGTCAAAATCAGCCAGATATTATTCGAATCTGACACGTAATCGCGAAACACGACCGAATATCCTGCTCGAATATCGTATGTTTAATTGCACAAGGATAAAGATTTCCCTGTTTGAATCGCATGGACATATATATAAGGTGAAACGTCCAATTGTTGACTCCCTTATACATAGTCTTCGACATTCTAGAAATATCTGTCTTTTCGAGCGATTATTTGCAGTTTTAATTGTGAAGTACTTCTGGAATCATATAGTGCAAGAAATTGAACGTTGGTCGCAAGAAACCAGGTTTTTCTCTTGAGTATTAATGGCCAAGGGAATGACAAAAATTGGGTGTTGTGCGTTCAACAAGTGTTATCAACGACTCTGGACACATTTATGTGCGTCTGATGTATTTCTCCGGCTTATACATTCGACGCAAGCAACAGTTATCAACTGTCGTAAATGGGCAAGTGTTGAAATATGTAAAGGAGCATGAATATAAGCATGTTCATACCCTTTTACATATTTAGCAATGGTGATACATAA